GTGACAACAAAATAATTTATTTATGACCTTTTCCCCTTGCTCAGCTTAAAAAAACACCTAAATCCATCTAGAACATTAATATCAAATAAGCCAACGCTGTATTCATTCACATGGGCCTCACAGTGACCTTAACCCAAATCCATCCGTTATATCAAAATGCATTTTACACATGCAGTCTATCCAAATTCTAAATGCTTGTAATAGCTGGAGGACAATAAGCTCATAAAGACGACAGCAAAAGTTCCTGCTGATTCAGCATTTCCTTCAATCAACATCTGATTGAGTGGTTTGCCTCATTGATCTGATGGTTCCCCGAGGAGGTTTTTATTTGTGCTGATGCTGCTAGTTATTAGTCATTCTGTTTGCTCTCAAATAAAACCACTGTTCCCAAAGACCTTGTTCAAGTCTCCTATATTTGTTGTCTCAAAACATGGTCGAGGCGGAACAGTGCTGATTACATTATCATTGCACACTATATCAGGACAAGCCTTGAACTCACTGACACGTTTACAGGATTGATAGTGAATAAGAAAACATTTATGGACGCACATATATTCCCGAAAACGAAGCTGCTGAAGCCTGGGCTCAGATTTCTGGTGTTTAATGCCCTCAGTGGATGCATACGTTTACGGGGATTGTTCCTCCGACATTAACCCAGGCGCCATTCTTTTAATTTACAGCCAGCACATCTTTAGCAATAATCTATGCTTTGGAGGAACATTAACAAAAAAACAGCTCATTACGTGCACATCAATAATGAATGCGCCTAACTTTCTGATAAACTTCTGATAAAGAATAGGGACCTTGGAATTTGTTAGCAAAATTGTTCATCTCCCCTCCAGCAGCACAGTCATCGTATTATGCTTCAATTATACAAGCTTCTTATAGGATTTTTTTTAAATGGAAAAAAAAGAAGAAGAAGAACTTGAAGCATCTTTAAACAATAAAACTTGTAAAAAAAGACAAATGTTAAAAATCTGAGGTTAAAGCAAAGGAATCACAACAAAACTCGAAGCTGAAGACAAACAAACGCTCCCCTTAACTCCTGCTTTTCCACAAAGATTTGTTTAGCTTTAAAATTACCAAAAGAAGATACTCGTGTTTCTTCTTCAGTGAAGGAGTTAGCAGCAGCTGTAACTTCTCTAAACTGATACAACACTGACTTTTCTGTGTTTATATGACTGTTCCTTGACCTCATCAGTCTACATTTCATAGTATCTGAGGGAAATATTTTTGGCCCCCAGATCTGTTCCTTCCAGGTTGATTTGGGTAATTCAATTATGAAAAGCCATGAATCTAAATGAACCAGCGCATAGCAGAGGTCACAGAGGTAAGAGGGGTCAAGCAGGTCCTTTAGGGCCATCTAGTGGTTCATTGTCTTCTGTTTCTTTAGTGTCAGGAATAGTAAACCAAACATCGCTCAATAAATATTATTCCTACATAGTTCCTGTTGTTTTGGAATTTACACTTTATCCAATATCTCAGCTTATTTTTTAGTCATTTAAAGAAGTTTATGTGATGATGTTATTCAACATATGGGTTTTTTTCTGCAAAGATTAACATGTCTCTTCTTTCAATAAATCCTGGTGACACTAAGACATAGAGCCAGAACACTGCAGTCACTCTTGTCCTTGACAAATGAAATACAGACATATCAGTCCCAGCCATGCTCTGACAGGTGTGTTTGTCTCGGCACCCTGACGAATCATTCATTCTCCAGGTGCCTTTGCATACTATCCTTTACATGATTCGATTTAATCCTGATTTACCAGAGATTGAGGCTGTAAACCACCAAAGGGCTTCTCATTTGGCATCTCTTCTGAGCTGTTTGTTTTGGACTGAGTTTTAGCCACTCTGGTGCAACATTTTTTTAAGTTTTTTATTTATTTTCTTTAATGGACATTTGAGGCTGTTAGTGTTGTTTCAATTCTATACTAACCATCATGGAGCTGAAAGCGGGCCTTCTGGATAATATTTCCAGCTTTGTTGTCCAGATAGCTGAGCTTAAAGGTGGCTACACATCACCGCTAGTCACTAACGAATTTGTTTGGAATTAACAACATAAAAAAAAACTCTGCCTTGGACTTTGATATTTTCTAATATTGAGTGTCCATGAAGTCTAATCCAGTTGTGGTGCCATGTAACAGCCACATGTTGATGGCGAACCACCTGTAATTAGTCACAAACTTTTACACATGTTTACTGAATTGTTCCTCTTCCAGATGGAAGCAGATAATCAGATTCCGTGTTTAACACCACCAGATGTCACAGTTTACAGCTCAACAAAGAAAAGAAGTTGGATTTTTAAAAGTTTTATCAGTGTCTGAATGGATAACGTTGAGTGGCATGCTCTATATCATATGAGCTCATCATCTTCTTATTTTAGGATGTCTTGATACATGCATGTAATGGCAGAATCTTTCATTTTAAATTTCCTAAACAAATGGATTTAATACTTCTGTGTCCCAGTGTGCAGAGAGCTCTGAGAAATCAACTGAGATATTGCAATTTGTTGCCTGTGGGCTGCAATATCTATCTGCATTAGTAATTCCAGTCGAGCTTCAGAAGTACTGCACAGCTCTTCCCACCTCTGAAGGTTCGATTTGTCCACAGTGTATCCTCTGCGAGAGCATCTTCAAGTTGAAAAACATGTGGTAAAGTCCTTGTAGACTGGAGAGAGTGAATCCTCACATCAGCTGGGAAATCAGAGTGAAGAGCAAACAGCTGCGGAGGTTCAAACCATCAACTCTTCGGCAGTAAACACAAGCCGTTCGATCTATTAGAAACTTTAAAACTACATGTATAAAAAAAAAAGGAAAGTGCATCCAGGAACTATCACCCATAAACTCCATTTCAACATCTCACTACGCAAAACAAACTACCCCAATGACATGCATGAAAATGCTCCTCTGGTGTTAAGCTCCAGCCCCTTGGGGGTGCCGGACCTTTCATTTGACCTGGATTAAATATTGATGGCCTGCAATGATAGAGGACAAAGCTCGGGTTTATATGTCACAGCACAGAGGAGGGCTCCTTCTGTAGATTTTTGCCGAGATGAGGCATCAAATTTCCATTTAGGAATAAAACCTTCATCGATCACTCAGCATCTGTGTGTTTTTTTTCCTCCCTCCCACGCTGCTATGATTAGTAAGGTCGTAAAAGCGTGTAGGCAGCTTTTATGCTGCACGGCTGCACTGAATGTTAACCTTCAAAATCTAATTAAAACTCCAGACAAAAATGAAATATCCTTCACTCATGGACACATTTTTTGACCATTTTTGTCCGAAAAGAAGAGAGAATTTATCTGCATGTGTATCGAACTGTACCATAACAGCCAGACAAAAAGCCTAAAAACATTAGCAATCTAGTGTCAAACAGCAGCTTAACTGGGAAATTTAGGGGGTTTTCTAATTTCCAGGATGCATTTTTATCTTGTTTTATAGTGGCTGTAATAGACCAGTGGTCTTAAATGCTTAAATGCAGATTTTTCTGAGTTTAAAGACTATGAGTTCAGAAGCCTGTGATCAAACCAGGAGAGAAGAGAGATGTGACCTGAAACACTATGGAATTACACTGACATCTGGTGGAAGGCGTCAGACTGCAAAGAACCAGAGGTAAAATATTCATTCTGCCAGGAAAATTCTTGTATCAAGAAAATATCTACTAAGAAAAGAAAAAATAAATAAATATGTGTTGCATCAATAAGCAAAAAGAAATAGGTTTGATTTTTCTTTTAAGCCCCAAATTAAACAGACTTTAGATTCTGCAAACACCCTGAGCTTTCTGTCATTTCTTCAAACATTTAAAAGCTAGATTTAAACTCTGTGAAACAGGATGTCAGTGGCATACAACTGCAGTAATCTTTGATGGTTTGTGCTATGAGAAATCCAGCCTGATTATTGCTTCAGGAAGAACCAAGCAAAAACTGGCATTGGGCATTTGGGAGCAAAATAGTCTCCAGCCCTGCATTATTCACACAGCGTTGCTGTCTCGTGTGGATCGAGTTGGAGGACATTCCAACGTGTCAAACTTTAAACGTCTGACTGCTGCCAAACTCCCAGGCTGACCTTGACTGGCCGCGATTGAACCGAGTTTTCTGTGGACACGCGGCTCTCTGTTGGAGGTTGAACAAAACAATGATGAGAGGGGGAGTCTGCAGGGAGCACGCCTGACATCCTGCTCATTAAAACGGCTCTGATTGAAGGTTTTCAATATCATTTCAAACATCTGATCCAAGAAAAAGACCAACTGGACAGGTTGTGTATTGATAGTTTATAAAAAATCTCTTTTATGGTGTGAGCATGTGCCTGTATGGGGGCAATTAGCAAAACATGTTCTCATTAAAAGGAGTTAATCACCACAGGAATGTGCTTCAGTTTTAAGATATATATAAACCCTGTGCTGTTATTAGTAAAACTACATTTCATGCAAAAGGAGGACTTCATCCTTTAATACTTTCAAGGAAAGAAATGTGCAAAGAGTCATCAGTAAGTTCTGTGTTTTTGCATTAAAACATTGAACATATGGTTGATTTACTACGTAGACATTAGTCCTCATCCACCCTGCTTCCGTTAAAGGTTGATCATCTATCCCAAACTGCCATTTGGCTTCTTCACAAGGTCTGGCAACTGTAACTGGATTAAGCTCTGAAATACGGAAGAAAGGGAAAGTGCAGCATTTATGAAACACTTAAATCACTTCATTTTTGAAAATTCGTGCAAAATCCAGACCTAGACTTAAATCTTTTTTTGCAACATAAAACTAAGTAATTTATTTCCAGGAAAGGCAGCCAGAGAGCCTGCACGTACAAAACAGACTTCCAGCTCAAGAAATTTGATTTTTTTTTCAGTCAGAAACAAGCCTTTTATCTGCAAACTTGCTCCCTCAGTTATTCCAACTGTCTGTATGCACAAAAAACCCCCGTCTCCACTGACTGAACAGACTTTTTTTTTTAGGTTTTACTTGTTCCTTTTAAAAATCTTCTACAATCACTTCTCCATCTGTGGGTGATTGCTAATCCCTGGCCACCCGCAGCTGCACAGGAGCAGAAGGCCTCTGAAATCCTCGGCGCCCGCTTGTCAGGGCGCGCCCTGCAGCATCTGGGCTCGCCTGTGGATCTCCTTGAGCAGGATGTTGCTGCAGGAGGCATCGGACACTCCGCTGTCAGCAAACATGGAGCCTGGCGGGGGTCAACATGGGGACAGGTTAGTCTCTCTGAGCCCGGTTAGAGCTCACATAGGAGGGTCAGATACTGCAGGATATACTGCTGCTGTTGGACACGTTGCAGATGAAAGTAGGTGTGGGGGTTTGAGGTGGTTGTTTCTGCTAATGACAGATTTCTGTCGTTTTTGGTCCCCGTCTGACTCCATCCTGCAAATAAATAATTTCTTATTATTCAAGTTGAATGAGGATTGTCTTAAAATCCATAGAAAGAGTATTTTCCGTAAATAACTGGTCAAAAAAGCACAGAGAAGCTGAAAACATTGGCTTAAGTTTCTAGATGGCTGAAATGCCCCATTTAGATGTGACTCTTTTATGCATGGATGAAATATCTTGACAGGCCATTAAAGTGTGTGCGTTGTGCAAATGAGAAGGCCAGAAAACCTCCATTCTTTAGGTCACAAGACAGCAATGCGAGTACCGATTTGCTAGGGACTTCTAATTTAAGGGTTTTAGGGATACTTTCAGGTGATCTGACTGGGACCTGCTCAGATTTGTCACTTTTCGGTGCAAAGGTTTTTGTCTGAACAGCTTGCGAGGCATTTGAATATCGTCCATATTGCACCAGACCGTAGTTGTCGTTGTCCACGGAAATCAGGACAATCACCACAATGAGAGGGAAGCCTGAAAAGAAGGAGAAATGTTTAAAAACAGGAAAAATGCCACTTTTGGATGCTTTTTCACACTATGGTATTACTGAGAGTCAGACATTTCACTGACAGAAGCAATTAATTATTTTGCATGGAAGCTTCAAAAGACATTTAGTGTTCATGTTGTTTGCCTAGCAACATAATGATGTGACAATATCTAAGTTAAACCCTTTGGTTTCTGTTCTGGATTTGTTCCAAACTTTAAAAGTTCAATCTTCAAAATCGAGAGTTTTCGAACGCTGAGTTTAGGTTTTCATTTTGCATGAAAACATAGAGAATTCGTGTCTTCTTTCTAACCCCTCAGTGAGTTCATGTCCTCACAATTGTCAGTCATTTTGACGATCTGCCCGCTTTGATATGCCATTTAGCATGAAGCGTGCATGTAAAAAATCCATCAATAGAAGTTTCTCAACAAGTATATGAGAAAGAAAGAGGAGAACATTGTATGAGAATTGTCAATGCTTCCAACTCCCACACACAGCATCACTTTTACTTTGATTTCACCCTGCTTTTATCTTTCGTTGCTAAGACTCGTCCTGTACTCTCCATCCACTACTTGCTGAATAGAAAAACATTTCAAAACAGTCCCTCATGGAGCAGCAAAGGATGTCCAGCACACCGCACAACTGACCGACAGGGGGCAGTGTGCTGCCACAGAGAAGAACTGGATGTCCGCAGAGAAGGTAGACATCAACTGTTTTTAGTTTCATTTTCTCCTGGGAAGACTGACATCACACCTTTAAATAAGAAAATGAACTATCTATTCCAATATTCCTTGCTGCCATAATTTTCAAAGGAAGGTAAAACATTCTCTTTTTTCACTTGTACAAACAGTGATTTCTTCGGATAAATAGGAGGGGAATGAGTGTGCAAGCAGCCTGATATAAATAATAAAATAATAAATAATTAACTTTTCTCTGTGTTATAAATGATCAATCTTGGTTTTAGAAAGAAATCCAAGACCATCCATAGACCATATATCTAATACAAATAACATATACCACGATTGATATAGTTTTTGTTCAGAAATATGTCATCTGTAGGATAAAGTATAAATATAGACAGCTTAGAGTACGAATGGGGTCACATGCACACAGCTGATGGCCCCCCACATATTTTTCTAATCTAATCTTAGACCAGAGTGAGTCAGTGGGGCTGTTTCCATGTAGCAAAACTGTAAATGAACAGCTTGAGCTAACACCCTTTACCCTACGACATTACGAGACTCAGTACTCACTACTATTGGGCGGGCCTAAACAGTTTATACGCCCTTTTTTTTAGCTCTTGAACATTTCTGAGGAAAGAGTTGGCAAGATGTCTGTGTTCAGGTTTTCTGTAGTTTTGTTTTCAACCTTTATAGTGACTTTGGCCAACAAGGGTGAGTGTCACTTTTACTATTTCACTATGTTTACCCTTGTTGTATCACTGACTGCTGTGTTGTTCTGTTTGGATTTGGTCTTTACTCATAAAGTTAAAGAAGCTCTAATTTGGATGAATACGAGAATCATATTGCCTGATTGCTGATTGTGTCAGATGTTAACATAACAGATTTATGTCTGATCTTATTCAGTAGACAGAATAAACAAATGAAATTAAATCTGATCAGCTGATTTCTGGCTAATTATTGCTAGACTTATACTTTGGTCGAATGGCAAAGGTCACTATGACATGCCAGTTCCTGTAAATACATTCAATGAAAGAATCAGTCTGGAATGGCGAATTAGAAAGCAACTGTCAATCTTACTAATCTTGAGTAACTTGCTTGGAAACATTCTGCATGCTAAGAGACTGGAAGAGAGATTCAAATGCCTGATCTCTACTCAGTCATATGACTGATTAGGAGCTTTAAGGCCAGGGAAAGGATGTATTGGTCAGATTTATGTCTGTTCAATACTGATGCTTTCTCTCAGATACAGGCAGATTGGTCTGTCTGTCTTTTATTTTAGAGTTGCTCAAACACCGAGTAGTAAAAGAATTCTCACAATTGATCAAATCAGAAAATCAAAACAATAAAATACACAGAAAATATGTCTACTTTCACTATGAAGAGACAGTAAGGAAGGGAATGGAACTCTATCATAAGATGATCGGGAACAATAGAAGCACTCATTCAGTCTTTAAATCATAAAAAGAGTTTTGACTTCTTTAAATTTTACAGTTATTCACTATATGTAAACTCAAACCAGTTTTTTAGCTTGGCTTTGGAACATAATGCTCCAGATTTTTTTAATGCAGTGAGCATGAAAGATAGTTTCGTTAGAGATGTCTACAAAGACCAAAACATTGGTCCTTTTAATGGCTCACAGTAGTACTGGAAGCCAACATGAAGCCATCCAAAGCAACTACCTGACTACACAGTGATACTCAATAAACAATTTTCTAAATATTTACTGAATTGATAAGTTAAAGCATTCACAGAAGTTTATATGGAAAGAAAGGTTAGTCATTTAAATAACCAACAAAATTTGCAGGTTACCAATAAATCCAAACAACACTACACACATAACCTGCATCCTTTTCGTCCCTACAGATGTAGTGGGTTTACCTTTTAAGTACCTGGGATATTTCCGTGGTTCCTGCTCCACAATGACAGGCCTAGCTTTAGCCCACAAAACACAGCTCATTTAGCTCATGTGACAATATCTAAGTAGCATCCTGTGAGACATGAAGTTCCCTCCCTTCCCCAATCTGAATATTTTCGGCTTACGATCCGATTCATTTAACCTAAAAAGGGTTTTTGTGGCAAATTTCCTCAATTTATTGGTATTTTTGTGGCTCTACCGTTGGAAACCAGCAAAAAGTTGCAGTAGCAGCTATAGAATTAATTATAATTATCTCATGGGTTGATGGGGAAGACTCTTCACCAATGAGTGACAAGGGTTTCTCTCTCGTGTTTTACAGACTCTGTCGTCTCCTGTCGGTTAAGGGAGAATTGCGTCCTGCCGTGCAGTTTTCCTCCTGGTGACGATACTGTCATCCACTGGATGCAGGTGTCATCAAACAAGCTTCAGGTCCACTCCTACTATCATAACATGGACCAGCTGGAGCGCCAGGATAAGCTTTTCAAGGACAGGACATCAATGTCTAGTGATGAAATCTCCAGAGGAACCGCCTCGCTCAAGCTGAAAAGGGTGACTTTTGAGGACCAGGGCCGATACCAATGCTACACCAGCACCATTGAAGGCAGCACAGATTCCTTCATCGTACTCAACGTAGACGGTATGGGAAACATATATGGAATACAAAAAAAAAACAACCAGAGACAAGAAAGTGTATTTGCATCAGTCATTTGCAGTTTTAGTTCATTAGAATAGCCATTTGATAGCCATTTGAGGAAAAATGCACTCTGTCAGTTCTAAGGCCCAAATAATTATGCCTCCCCTGCCATGCTGACAGCTGCTACGATGGTGGTTTCTGTGCATCCTGACCAAACATCTCCACTTTGGTCTTGTGCTTTGTTCAACTGCAGCTTTTCAAACCTAAGCCTTGCTGCCATGGCCTTTTGACAGTAGAGAATCTTTCTCCTGCAGATCAAAGAAACTAGCCATACTTATTTAGTCTTTTTCTAACTGTATGTCATGAGCTTCAATCCATAACATGCTAGCTGTTGAGTCTGAGATGTAGCAGGTGGGCTCTTGACCCTGGGGGGACCTTGATTGGACGTCCGCTCCTTGGAAATGGACAAGTTTCCTGAATCTTTTCCTCTTGTAAATAATCTTAATTGTCTCAGTAGTTTGGGAATTATCTAGTAACTCTTTCAAAATTGAGCAGCAAAAATCACTGGCTGATGTCTTTGAATTGTGTTAACACAAACCAGAGAAGCAAACAGACCACATTTGAATTTAAAGGTGCCTGTAAAGTAATAGGAGTACGTAAGATGAAATCTGAAATCAAAGCCATAGAATTTGAATTAGAATATTTTCAAATGCAAATTTTCCCTACAGTTAAAGTCCAGATAAACTATGACTTTAACAGAAAAAAAGCATATTTTTGAAAATCTCTGGTTTCCTGCAAGCTGGCATTAGGTTTGAGCCACTTGTACTTTATGTGAAGTGGGTTTTTTCTGGTTTTGAGTCCTCTGTTTTTCTGCGATGTGTGACTGGACACTTAAACGCTCACAACTGTAAGTGCTGGTAACTTTCTCTGGGTTTTCTTTTTTGGCCACTGCACACAGACATGTGGCTGATAAGTGTCCTTTTCCCAAGACAGACTGATAAAAGCATTCATCCAAGTCTGTGTGACCAAGGTCAATGAGTGGATACAGAGAGGCAAACTTTATCAGCTCAGTGAGAACACTGCTGTGTAACAGACAAACAGCCTTTTGTGTCTGTGGTTAAGAATCAGAGGAAGGGATCAGGTGAAAGTAAATGTTCCCCTGAAAACACAGCATTTCAGATACAAACCCATCCATCCATCCATCCATTATCAATGCCGCTTATTCCCTCATGGGGTCGCGGGGGGAACTGGAGCCTATCCCAGTGGTCAACGGGCGAGAGGCAGGGTACACCCTGGACAGTCCGCCAGTCCATCGCAGGGCCACACACAGGACATACAAGGACCAACAACCACTCACACTCACATTCACTCCTAAGGGCAATTTCCCCAATCTCCAATCAGCCTAACATGCAGGTTTTTGGACTGTGGGAGGAAGCCGGAGAACCCGGAGAGAACCCACGCAGACGCAGAGAGAACATGCAAACTCCACCCAGAAGGGCCCTGGTTCCCCCGGGATTCGAACCCAGAACCCTCTTGCTGGGAGGCGACAGTGCTAACCACCACACCACCGTGCCGCCCCATCAGATACAAACCAAGCATTTCAAATGCCTCTCATAGCTTCAAAAACCAGGAAACACAAGAAACATGTAAAAGGCCCACAAAGTCATGGCGTCAGGTTTGATGTTTTAACTTCTGTGGGTGAAACTCAAAACTAAGAACAAAACTTTTAGCACATGATGAAACCATTTATTTTGAAAAGAATCTCTTTTGTTGCAGTTCTCATTCAGAAAGTCGACATTGATCGGAGAAAAGACAGGATCACCTGCAGCTCCGAGGACATCTATCCAAAGCCCGAGCTCACCTGGACCACAAACCCTCCATCCTCTCCCCAGCACACGCTCTCACTCAGTGAGACAGAAGACAAGCTGTACAACATCAGCAGCTCTCTGATCGTTTCGAGAAACACCTCAGATTTGGATTACACCTGCACAGTTAGGACTCGAGGAAACAAGAAGAGCACCACTTTGTTTAAAACAGGTCCCTGAGGCTTCATATACGGTTGGGTCTTCGTCAGAAAATTTGACGTGTAAAATAATTTCTGTTTTTTTTCTTTTTGTTTGTCTGCTTGTGTTGTCTTATTTCAGATAATGTCAGTGTGTCAGGTAGTGAGACAACAATCCCGTGTAAGGCCCCGACCGCTACGGTCCAGAAAATAGTTTGGACGTTCGACCACCACGAGATCATCCTGAACAGGAGCAGAGCTGAGGACTCGTACAGATGCTCGGAAAAGTGGGAAAGACATGTGGAGAAAGTGACAGACACAGGTCTCACGCTGAAAGATCTATCATCGAGCCAGGAGGGCCTGTACACATGTGAAATCAGTAGTGACGAGGAAACGTACATAAAAATCACTTATCTTGAAATTTCAAAAGGTAAGACAGCAAAATCAGACAAATCAGATTTTGGCCTTTTCGCCTAAAAACGACACATTTCCCTTATATACATTACTGTTGATGGTATTTAAAAGTTTAACTCGGCTAAGGATTTGATCATTTACTGTCCATAAAGCTTGTAGTCACACTGTGATCTACAATCTCTAATCTCTCAACAATGCAAATGTGAATCATTACTTTGCACAGGTTTTGACTGTGTTTAATTCTTCCTCTCTAGCTAAACACATCATCATAATAGGCAGTGTTATCAGCGCGGTCCTTGGAGTAATAGTCCTATCTATAGGAGTAGTATGCCTGGTGAAACGCAGCAGAAAGGTAAAACATTTGTCCATTCCTCTCTCCTCGCTTTAGTTCTGTAAATATGTTAGTATTCTGTGCTGAGAAGTGTGCTGTTACAGGGGACAAAAACGTAATGACAGCTAATCAGAAGTTGTTTAGTCCCTATGACATATAAGTGCTTTTTTTGTGGTCTAATTGCAGGGAGGCGTCATCTAACTGGAACTCTGCAGTTCATGGCCTGGTAAGTACAACTGATCCAAAAGGAATGGTGACTTTTTTTTTGTTATAAGTCTTTATTTGGCCCTTTGACTAAATCTAAGGAAAACTTTTTATTTTTATTTTTGAATATTCATATTTTTTTACCGAGGAATAAGTCAAAATGATTGTCGTGTAGTCTTCTGCTCCGTTATAGGGAGTTATAGGGAGTTTTTCCCAAAGTTTTTACCATTACTATTTAAACATTCCAGAAACTGTATGCATCAAATATGATACATATGGAAATATAGGGTGAACTGTGTGCAAACACTTTTCAGTGACCGGCATTTTGCATCAAAAGCATTTAAAAATATGCTCCAAATCAGTAAAAACACATTATTTCTCCTTTTAAGGAATTTGTTTCTTAGTCAGTTTCTATCCTACCATGATCTGTACTACACCTTGGTTTGTTTCTTTTCGCAGGAGGACATGGAGTCATCTTGTCCATGAGGTTCCTGTGCTCAACTTTGTGCGGGTACCTGATCAAAAAAACTGCTTCAACTACAGCACTTTTTAATGATGGAACGTTTCAATGAAACGCATCAGTGGCATATTTGAAAGTGGGATGTCGGAGAACAGACATCGGAGAACAGACTGAGCTTCAATGTGGAGATGAAGGAGAGGCTTAATCCGTCTGCGTTTTCAAACCTGAAAGGATGTTTTTGGCTTCGTTTGCATCTGTGTTTGAAAAATGTTTCGTCTCACCGGACAATGTGTTTTTTTTAAATGTCAGGGGTTTGACAATGCTGCTTAAAACAACATTCAAAACCTGGATTTGACATCAATTTTCAGGGAGGATGAGCAAAATGCTGCGATCTGGAAGGATAACGCTGTGGTACTTTGCAGAAACGTGAGCTGGTTCACTGGGAGGCTCGATTACACTGAAAAAAACCCGGGTTGTGAAAATCTGACATACGTTTGATGCAGCTTGACAGTCTCTTACTCTACTTTAATTTGGAACTATTTATAAAATACTAATCAGTGAAAGATGCACCTTAAATTTGACCTGGAATGTAAAATGTGAAGTAACAACCAAGTCTGAAAGGAAACACTAAATAGAGCCAAACTTAATTTTTTGGATTTATGTCCACTAACTTTTTTATTTTGGGAGGGACTTTTTAACTGTTTTGTTAAGGTTGGATATCTCATTAAAGCTGACCATCTCCTCACAAACCAGCCTTTAATTTGACAGAAGAACAAAAACACAGATTTAGCCTTTAATCGGAGTGAATGTATTGTTATTTTGTGTGGCTATTTAATTTTTTCCCATGGCACTGGGCTCCAGAAAGCGGTTTCTCATCTTCCTCATATCCTGTGAAAAATGAAATATGTGATCTGTCACAAAAAGTTTTTTTTTTACTTCGTTTTTTTTTGGGTGAAAAAAACCAGCAGAGATTGTTCTTCCATACAGCTGAGGTACGATGTGAACCCAGAAAGGCACTGAATAAATAAATTTTTTTTTTGGACACAACTGATTGTTTTGGGAAAATGCATGAAGTAAATTGTAAATACAGATTAAAAAAAGAAAATGTTATATATTGAATAAAGATTTTTTTTATCAAAACTGGATTTTGATTTGCATCTTTCTTGATCATTTGTAAGTTAACAGTATTTTTATGGAAGCATTTCAGTTCCATAATGTATGTTCATTTTAGATAAAAGTCTAAAAGTTAGAATTATGTTTGGAAATGGCAAGTCTGTTTACCTGGCTGGGAATACATTTAACATTTCTTATCCCCAAAGCATCCTTAATAAGAGTCAATCACACTGATTCTGTGCATAAGAGATGTCTTACAAGTTCAATAAATTCCCACTCATTTCCCATGATTCCACACCATTGACAACCTGAAGCCACGCCCCTTAATGCCAGATTTGTACAAAAAAGTTCAATATAGAAAATTTAGCTTTAACTTTTTTTTTTAAGATTTTGAACCAGTTGCAAAAATCTAATCTGGAACTGAAGGAAAAAATATTTTAAATTATAAAAATGTCTACAAAGACCCATGACGGATCATGATTTCAGATGTAAAATCTCTCAATAAAACTCCTATTCTTATTCTATTAGTAATGAAAATGTCTGACATGCCAGTGTGTAACTTCAAAAATATTTGAAATGTTACAGCTGATTCACGGCTGCAGGGAGCACATGTGCAGCCGGTAAAAACACCGACCAGTTGGATGAGATTTCCGTTCTGTTCAAGTCGTTTGTTTTATTGTTCATCACAGACCAAGGTTTACCGACATGGACAGTGCCCTTTTTCTCCTGATTTTATCGTTTCTCTGGACTTCCTCAAGTGGCGGTGAGTGAAAGAATTACTGGTGTTGTGCTGTGTTGATGTGTTAGTTTTCACCTTAGGAATAAAAAAACAAAAAACAGAGCAAGGAGGATAAGCTCAGAGTTTGACTTAAAATAGTCATCCAGATGAAAACTGATGATTGTTTTTTACTGAACGTTTGCTTAAAACTGTTTTTATATTATATGTTCACTGATGTGTGCAAGATAATAACAGAGAAACCGTGAATATTAATGTGTATGAAAATAAACAACAAAGACATGTGAATAATCTGGATTTCTGATCATGTTAGTTCTTTCTATCTGCTGACTTTGTGATATTGTCGTGTTGTGGGATGTTTGAGAAAATAAAGAAAAATCTCAGCAGCACAGCCTTTAATAAAATACTGATTTAGATTAAGTCTGAACGTGAAGAAACTGAGGTTGTTTGAGTTTGTGAGGAAGAAACTGTGACAGGCAGGGTTCATGAATTAAATGTTGTAGAACGTGTCTGGTGGCATTTTATTCCATCTCGAAAAACAAAACAAAAGAGAAAATGCCCAGAGAAAAAACCTGTCAGGCTGTCACACCTTTAAAATTCCTTCCTTGTTTATGAAAAAGAAACAGAGCAACAGTTTTTATGTCAATGTCTGGCGTCTCTCACAATGTCAGATCTGAGTTCTTTACACATGTATCATTAGATTTCTATCTGTGGTTTTTCACACCTCTAATAACCCAAATCCCAAACTTACTGAGATTTACTGAGACTTTCTGAGACTGAGTTTTTTTTACTTTTTATGTGTAAAACATTATGAACGTCTGAACAATGGCTCAAATCTGATAAAACATTCTAAATGCTCCAAAAATTCAACTCTGAGGGAAAACTCTGTCTCCCTCTTGTGGAATTCCACCTCAGTTGTAGCAGAAATGTTTTTACTTTAGTGGATGTTTATTTCCTGGTTAGGCCAGCTCAGGATCATCATTACCCGCCTTTCTGAGAAGATTATGAATTTTAAATCAATGGAAAAAACTGTCTATAGAAGTTTTGTCTTTAGCAATGGAATTTTTGCTTTCAACTGTTCCAGATACGGAGGTGTCCTGTGTTTTCATGGAGAGCTGCGTCTTACCCTGCAGCTTCCAGGGAAAAGCTGACATAGTTATCCACTGGACTCCCCCCAAACACTCCCATGAATCCAACCAAGTCCAGCTCCAGCTTCAGGACGGGCGCTTCAGAGGCAGGACATCCCTGTTCCAGGATCAGCTTTCCAGTGGAAACGCCTCCCTGCTGCTGACGGGGGTGAACGTTGAGGACCAGGGAAGATACAGGTGCCAGACCAACACGGACGCTGGAGAAGATGTTTCGTTTGTTAGTCTGAAAGTGCACGGTATGAGAAACCCACACATTTTTATTCACCCAAAAAAATCCCAAAAATGTGCAGGTGTGAGTTTTTTTATTTGACTGTGATTTCAAAGTCAGTTTGATCAAACATCAATGAGAAAAAAAGAACTCTCAGAGAACTAATTGAAACCCATTTATCGGGAGAATATGTTGCCATTTTATGCTCTCAGAATACCAACAGTACAAACAGTTACTACCCCAGATGTTTAAAAAAAATTCTATAGCTAATTACAGGTACTTTGGTTGGTTTTAGGAAAACCAAATAAGTGACAATAATGAGGAAAAACGACACAGCTTAAAGGCATGCCCCTCTCATCCTCCACAATGAGGAAGAGGAAATCCTTTTTCAAATAACTGCATAAATTATCAGTTTCTGAGTTTGCCATTAATGTAACATGGTTACATAATTCTTTGTACACCTGTATGTGGTGAAATGAGCTTGTAAAATGACAGGATTGTTGAGGGGGGAAAATCGTATTTTCCTCAGAGAGCAACAATATTGAGAAAGCATGTCAGATATTTTCCATTTTAGTCCTCCATTCCCACCTTTGTCTTCATTTTCGCAGCTCCAGTTAAAACGGTCAGCATAGACCAGGCGGGGAACAGAATCACCTGCAGCTCAGAGGGGGTCTACCCTATGCCTGAGCTCACCTGGTCCACCGACCCCCCGGGGAAGGTCCTCCTCGGCAGCACGACTTTGGTCCAGGCGACCGAGCGGCATCTTTACAACATCAGCAGCTCCCTGCCGGTCTCAGACAGTGACGGCGCCCTGAACTACAGCTGCAACGTCAGCACGCCAACCAGCAGCCGGACGGCCACCATCGGCCTCCATCCCTCTACTCTGGCAGAAGGTATAGCGACCCCCAGCTCCGGCCGCCCGACGGCTGCTGGGAAATGGTGCAAAGACCTTACTGAGAGAACGTGGTGTGCTGTGATACCATTTTTGCGTGTTTTGTGTTCTCAGACCGAGGCAGAGGGATAGGACTGGTGGTTGGAGTCATTCTGGTGACAGGGTCCATGTGCCTGGTCCCACTATTGCTGCTCAAATGTTCCGAGGTAAGAATCTGATATGTGTCTAATGTTTGCTTAAGCTGCTGAATATGTGGGGAAATGCAGAAAGAAATGGCTGTCATCACAGATTAAAAGTTAGAAATAGTTAGACTTCTGAGATGTGTTTTGTTCTTTTTCCTTCTTTTTTCCTTTTGAAGTTAGAGACGTGAGAAGATTCCACTACCAAAAATGGTTTTGGAATTAGCAGTTTGTGCAGATTTTTAGAAAATTTGAGTTTTTCCAGAAGCAGAGCATCTGAGCAAAAGTTTCACTTTCTGTTAGGAAGTCATATTCTTCCTCAGAGCTGGTTTATCCATTAAACCAGATGAAACAGTGTTGGATGATACACAAATTAACATAAAGAGTTGAAAAACTGACACAAAGATGCATGGACGGCGCCTCCTGCTGGCATATCTGTGAATCTTGATTTAACTTCTTTATGTCAGATCATGGTTTCCAGTTCTCTATTTCAAATCCTAATTTGACCGTTTTTGAAAAAAGTATTAATACGTTTTATTGAAGCAAACCACTAACATGACTCCATAGACCCAAGATTGTTTGTAAAAAATACATCCCCAATAATCAATTAATCACTGATTGAGTGGTTGAATGTTGAAGACAGCATTTAATGTGACTTTCGGAGATTACCTAAGATGTTTTTTTCATTCTCTTCAGTTTTGGAAAAAGAGAAAATCGGTTCAGCCTGATATCTTATCAAGAGAGAAAACAGAAAATCCCACAGAAGGCAACACAAAGGGGTAAATATATTGAAATATAGCGGCTCTGATAGACTCCATCAGACTGAATCCAATTTTTTCTTTCATATCACAGGGCCGACTTTGATGAAGAAAGCTGTTTAAGAACAAATATCCCATCGCAGCCCACAAAGAAGCCAAACAAGTGTAAATTATACATAAAGATGGCTGGAGACAAATTAAATTCTTCGCTTAGAAATTAGGGTTAAATTACAGCAAATGTATGAGTATCATCAGATACTAGGATTTGAAGTCTCAAAACTTTTCTACAATTGGACCTCTTTTTATAGATGATATTAAATGCATTTATTGTGTTTATATAATCATGTTGTACCTTAATGAAGCGTATATGTCACAGAAAAGATGAAGCAATAGAAGGACAAATATTAATAATATGTAAATTGTGTGAATTGTGATTATAATGACGTATTAGATTTACCAAAAAAGGGTCATACTGACATCTACAGATGAAAGAGTCAAGTTTATTTTTATGTTTTTAGAGGACAAGTAATTAAACCAGGGAATAAATTATGCACAGAAGACATGGCTGTCACATATTTTTGTATATATGTACTACGTTTTGTAATGTTGTAGCAGATTTCTTAGTAAAACATGCATTCAAATATCTGTTGACTTGAGTTTTTATTAAAAATAAAGTAATTTTAAAGGCACTATGGGGAATGAAATGTTTTAGTAGTCAAGAAAGAGGGCAAAAATCCAGCTAGAACCTGAAACAGTAAGAAATGAATATACATAACTATTCCCTTAGACTATTTCAAGGTATGACATTTAAAAAATCTGATCTTACATATGTACAAACAAACATATAGGGTTCCTATTACACAAGCAAAATGTATGAGCACCGTAGTGGCTGCAGCTCCTGTATTTCATCAACAGAGGGTGATACTGGCCGAGATTTTAGCTCTGTTACATCCCCTGCTTTGTGAGGGATGTGGAATTTCTGAGTAACGGTAAAAAGTAGCTCTATGTCGGCCCTTTCTCACTTTACCTGTGCGCATGTAAACTGGTCGTTACGGTAGCTCCGTTAAAGGGCATGGTTGTTTATACTGAAAACCATTCCTGTGGGTCAGAAACAGAAAATACCAGATTAGGGGGATATTTTCAGGTGAAAATGCTCTGTTATGCTAATTTACATAATTAAGAGTGGAGAACTAGATGACGTTGTGTGTGAGTGTGTATCACGTTGCATGTGAGGCGTGTGGGACCATGTTTGGCTTGGGGGGGGGGGGGTCCCTTTAATCCTGGTCTCACTCCGCAACATGCCCTCAAACGTGAATACCGTAATGTCCGATTGATGTGCGCACGATAAAACGAAGCGAAGGGGTGCCTTGACTGCAGTTCTGGGCCGCAGCGGGATCGGGAGAGGACGAATATCCGCTAATCTGTCCACAGCCTCCACCGTCAGATCTCCTGCTGCCGCCGAATAGACGTAATAATCATGGGCAACTGTCAAGTAAGTGACATTTGTATTCTTTCTCTCTCTGGAAGCGCATATGTGTCTTCTTCTTGTGTATGTTATGAAATCCCAACAGTAATCTGTTCGGGTTTCGCTCTACGACAGAAACTTGTTTCTCATATCTTAATCCATAAAATCATAAAGATTTTCATTCGGATTAATCTAGGAATTAAATCTTTTCTCGGGCGACGTTAATTAGCTTTTATTTTTCTAACATAAATCTGTTTCCACGGCTTATGTCAACCAGAAGATCATTCCCACTATGAGCGACTCTTGAGTTTTTCCTTTTAGTTTTATAATACGCGATGATTCTTTGGGTCTCGGGCGGTTGACACCGTGTGGGGGGGGGGGGGGGGGGGGGG